CTTTCCATTGTTCAACATAACTGCTTAGGAAGCTGGAATGTTTTTCTTTTACTTTTTAACAGCCTCGCTGCGCTGCCATCTCCCCCCCAGGTAGTGGCCCTCCAGGACCCCCCAGTCTGGAGAGGGAAGCTACCGTCCTTCTCCATGTATAAATGTTTCTCCCCCCCTGTCGCCTCAGGCCGTAAGCCTAAGGTAGCCTTCTTTGTCTATCAGGAGCTCCTTGGAGCCTACCCTGTCCTTCCTTGTTTTGTTGATCGGCCTGACTTAATGGCACTGGATATCCACTCGCCTAGGGGCTTGTTTTCATCATCTCTCCATGTTTTTCGGATTTACAATTTGTACTCCATTAATTTTGTTTCCTCTCACCGCCGGACAGTGTTGCCGGCGGATGCTTTTCCTCTTCATGATTTTCCTTCCCTCACCCTTGGTGACTTCAACCTGCACCACCCCCTTTCTGACCCCTTGCGCCAGTTCTCGGACCAAGACCTGCTGGTGTCCTGCCCTTACTTCGAGGCTGCCTCCGAGGCTGGCTACAACTTGCTCAACACGCCTGGCATCCACACCAGGTTCCCCTTCGACTTGACTACAAGGCCAGGTGTACTTGACCTGGCTTTTGCCAATAAGCTTTTGGCTCCCTTCCATGACTCCTGGACGGCTGATCTCCCCTCCACCCGGTCTGACCACGTCCCTATCCTCATTAAACTTTCCACGCCCTTGATGCACAAGGCCCCTCCGAGCCCGGACTTGGACAAGGTGGACTAGCCGCCGGTACTTGAAACCCTGTGGAGAGTCGATGTCCCACCGCCACCTTCCCTCCCTACAGCCTCCGCCCTCAGCTCGTGGTTCGATCGACACCTTGGTGCCCTTTCAGCCCTACTCTTGGCCCCTGCCCTGCTAAAACGCCCCTCCCTTAGGTCCAAGCCTTGGTGGTCCCCCCTTTTGACCTCACCGCGCCGGGCTTTCAATGCCACTGCCAGAAGGTCCCACTCCTCCCCCTCTCCCACACTCAATACCGAGGCCCGCGAGGCCCGCTCCTGCTACTTCAAGGCGATCAAGAAGGCAAAGGCCGAGCATTGGAAAAGCTTCCTTGCCAAGGTTGACTCCCACTCAGTCTGGACGGCCAAAAGGCTTGCCACTGGAAGAGCCCCCGACCGCTTCCCCTCCTTTCCCAGCCTCTCCTCCCCCGAACAGATCAACTCAACACTCCTGAATCACTTTTTCCCCCATAAAACTTCCACTCCCACCCCATCTATCCTCAGGCCCTTCCGCGACTCGCCCCCTCTCTCCCCCGTGGAGGTACAGAAGGCTCTGTCTAAGTCATCAAACTCGTCAGCCCCAGGCCCGGACCAGATCCCCTATGGGGTCTGGAAGAAGGTCCATGCAGTTAATCCCTCCCTCCTTGTTAACCTCCTCTCTCCTTTACTAGCTTTTGGCTTCCACCCCCCCTCCCTCAAAACGGCCAACGGAGTCGTTCTCTCTAAGCCAGGTAAACCAGACTATTCCTCCCCCACCTCCTTCCGCATCATTGTCCTCCTCCAAACAGTTTCAAAAGTCCTAGAAAGGATTGTTGCCTCTCGCCTTTCCCTAGTAGCCCGCTCACAGGGCCTAATCAACCCAAATCAGTGTGGCTCGCTCCCTGGACTCAGTACCTATGACGCCTGCACCGCCCTCTCCCACGAGATCCGCTGCCTTCAGCGGCCCGGGCTCAAAGCCTCGTCACTCTTCCTTGACATCAAAGGGGGGTTTGACAACAACAATTCAATGCTGCTCACTACTTTCATGAAGTCCAGAGGGGTGCCTCCATACATCTGCGCCTGGGTTCAGTCTTTCCTTTTTAATAGACATTGTCGTCTTCTCTTTCAGGGATCTCCTAACGTGTTCTCTCCAGTGCAGGTGGGCGCCCCACAAGGGTCTCCTATTTCTCCTCTTCTTTTTGTCATCTATGTGTCTCCTCTTCATTTGAGTATTCCCAAGGGAATTATGTTTTCTTATATCGATGATTTCACTGTCAAGGTGGCCTCTCTCTCCTACAGGCACAATGTGCAGCGCTTACAGCACTACTTTCTGGTACTGAAGAGGAGGGCGGGGGCTATTGGCATGTCCTTCTCTGTGCCCAAGACCGAACTGTCTCACTGGAGAACCTCAAGGGATCATGGGGCTCGTTGCTACACCCCAGTCACCCTCGATGGTGCCCTCTTCCACCCCGCTGGGCTAGTTCGCTGGCTTGGCTACTGGTTTACCCCTAGCCTGGAAACCTCTCCTCACTTCGCAAAACGTTTGGCGCTCGCCCAGGGGGCTTTTGCTATCATAAGACAACTCTCTCCTCCCGGCAAAGGCTTGCCTCCTTATCTCAATCGAAGGCTAGCTGTGGGGCTCATCCTCCCCGTCCTCTCCTATGGGGCCGATCTTCTGGTACCCAACACTTCTTCACTCCACAAGATGGAGGTCTTCTGGAATCTGGTCCTCCGGTGGGTGCCCAACTGCTTCCACTCTACCCCTACCTCAATCCTCCCCTGCGAGGCTAGCATTCCCCCTCTGGTAGTCCTTCTTGACCATAAGCGCCGAATGGCAGCCTTGAGGATGGCCTGCTCCCCACCCGAAATTAACCTGGCCACAGCCAGGCTCTCCTCGTCCTTTCCCTCCGCATCGGCAGCAAGGGCCCCGGACTCCAACCGGGCCCTGTCCACCGGGCTGAAGGGGAACGCTTACCCCCTGCTCTGGAAGACCCCCAGGCCCTCTCCTGCCGTAAGGTCCCACCTGCCTATTGATGGCATAGCTCACTCCATCGCTCGAATCGCCGCCAAAGGAACTCTCCCAGGCCAGAACAGGCACCTAGTCCCCGGGGCGATCAGCAATCTCTCCTCGTCTCAGAAGTACTCCCTTCTAAAAGCTACTACTCGATCTCTCCTCCCTCAGGACTGGGCGCTACAGGCCCCCCCCCTCTATACTATCCCTATCCTCCAACGGAGGCCCCACACCCCTTTATGGGACTGGAGTGCTTTCTGGCTGGAAGAATACATCAGATGAGAGCTGGAAAGAGCTATCTAGCTCCCCATACCCACTGGAACGAACCGGACAAACCCACTACTTGCCCAGCCTGCGGCCTAGAGCCGGAGACCATGCAACATGCCATCCTCTCCTGTCCCTCTAAGGCCGCCTCGAGACTGCTCCATATCCCGGGAGTTGATTCTTTGGGCGGTGAGGCTCCCCTATGGGCCGATAAGGACCTCCTATGGGGCCTGGCACGATACATCTCCTATACCAGAACCAACTTCCTGCCCGCCATGGGCGGGGGTCAGGCGTCACCCGGCACCAACCTTGTTTCAGATTGCAGTCGTATTTCTTTTTGATGTCTTTCCTGGCTTTACTTGACTTTCCTTGCTTTATGTTTCCTTTGTGCGGAAGGAGACTTGGCTTTTCTTTTGCGATTAGTCGCCCTGGCAGGCGCAGTCGGTTGTATTACTCACTGGCGGGGATTGCTGGCGGAGAGATATTTCATTACCGTTTGTTGTTTTTTGATATTAAGGTTTTGTTTTTGCCATAGCTAGCGCTCCATGCAGGTTCTTGTACCTTAACAAAGAATATATGAGTTAAACAAAAAAAAAAAAAATCCCTAGCTTTAAGTCTATCATCAGCGACCGGAGAAGAGATCTTATCAATATATTTATTCTACTTTACTTCTATCTTTACGAGCCTTCTTGACTATCTCCGAGACAGAAGATTACAGGGCCTAGTGTATACTCGCTTCACTTTAGAGTTACCTACCCCCTAACACTCAAGGTAGCTAACTCATGGTTTGGTGTAGAGGGACATCTCTCTGTCAGGGTTGCTTGGTTCCCATAGGAACCACTGAGTAGAACCAGGTGTTGGCTAGTTTGGTACAGTGGAAGGCTGGACTGTATCCACAGGAGAAGGAATATCTGCATCTATCTGGGTATCTTCAGGCATGGTTGGAGCTGGGGTATTCTGGTGGGGTTGGAATCGGTGTGCCAGCGGGTTGGCAGCACTCCTGCCTCTGCCTCTAGCCCGTGGAGGCATCAGAGGTGATGGGAGAAGGACTCAGTTGATAAAAGGTGATGGAAAACAAATAATAGAAGATCATTTGTTGATGAAATTTCTGTAGAGTGGGTGGGGAAGTATGAAGGTTTGGTTGTTGACCAATAAGGTGTAGGCTTGGCGAAAAACTTGGTGTAGTTTTTGCTTTCACTGTGGTTGTAACGGCAATGGAGTCGGAGGCAATATGTAGATTAAAGAAGACTTTAATTAGCAAGTTCATTCCCTGCCTGTAGAATAAAAATGATATGATAGAGGCAATTCAAGCACAGTGGGATGCCAACACTTAGCATGATTTGGCAGAGATTCTCAATACCATGATTGACCGAGTGGATGCACTTGGTAGTGTGAATAGTGGTCCTACTAAATTCTAGTCTTTTTTAACTTTTCTTTTTTTCCTCTCCTACTACTTTTCATTCAAGATCTTTTTTTTTTCTCTCTCCTGTTCTACTTATTTCAATTGGATTTGTTTAGTATCTTCAGCCTTATATTAACATTAGAGGTGATATGGGACTTGGATACTACGAGTGTGTTGAGATGGTACTAGTTCCAGAAAGTGGTATTTCTTTAGTTTCTCGAGTTCTGGAATATGTGACATAAAGGAAAAAAACCAACAGTCAGTAACGATGAGCTATGATTGTCATGATATGCTTAGTTCTTTAGTTCTTTACTTTATCAAATTCAATAGCTCTTATTTGGACAAAATTGTGGTACGCATCTTGCAAGCGCTGTACCACTGCCCTCTGATCTGTACCATGAATTCAGGGTATAGCCTTGTACTATCCGAGGGCTCCTTGTCCCTTGGCAGCGCTCGACACAGCAGGTTTGTCCGAGACTGCCCCCGCAACTGCATCCGGACTGAACCACTTGCAGTACCGATGCCCGGCTATCGACCACCGCCACTTCCCCACCAGATTACTGCCCTCTCCTGCCGTCCCCGTCTCTCCACTCAATGTTCGGCCAACTCTGGGTCGCCGCCCTTTTCTGATCCCATTGTTCCTGCCCTTGGCCTTGCGTTTGCATATAGGTGCTGGTAACGGTCTTCCACATATCGGCTCCCCACGCATCAAACCGCCGTGCCACCGGCTTCAACATTCCCACCTTTCAGCACAAACATCGCAAGTCCTTATCGCAACCTGTAACCCTACGGTAACTCTACTCCAGCTCTTCCACGCCCAAACTCCCTCCTCCTGTCCTCACTTCCGCCTTTCCCTGGGCCTATTGCACTGCCTTGTCCACAGTTCCACTTCCTTTGGTCAAGGGGGGCTGTCAAATGAGTGCCCGGACTTCCCGATTTCTCTCTCGCACTCTTGGTGATGCAACTTCCCAACTTACACAGCGAGCTCCCGTCGCCCCACCTGACGAGGAACATCGCCCTTCTGCATCTTTGTTCAAATGGTTTCGTCTAAATGGCCTCAGTAGACCACCCAATCTCTCTCGCACACTGAGTACGATAGAGGATGAAAAGGTTCCCCAAGACAGGGCAAAGAAGTTGGGCACTTTCAGTGGGGTAGACCCCGCAATTCTCGTTCCTTACGTTCAATTCCCGCTTATCTGGGATTTACAGGTGTTCGTGCCAACCACTTTAAATGTTCTTTCAATTCTCATGTTCCTCCGCTTCGGATTTATCCTGGGCCAGAGTGGTATCCTAGGAATGCTCGGTACCGCCCCGACACCCCCTCTCTTCTGTCACCCACTGTAGCGAGGTTGCTAATATTCCCTCTTAGGCATGCTTCTTGTTAGGTACGACTCCTTATTCCTCACCAATTTCGTACGCTCTCCTTCTTTAATGGACTTGGCCATCTACCAGACACCCACCTATGCATTCTCGTCATCTTCCCAACAGACTTTTACTAACCCTACTTCCCTAGCTACCTCATCAATCTAATCACAACATTGTCCATTTCGGCAATTTCATCCAACGGCACTGTGCGCGGCGGCGGGGCTTATTATCTGATATCACGCTCACTGGGACCAGAATTCGGAGGCAGTATAGGGCTTGTCTTCTACCTAGGGTTTGTTTTCAATACAGGCATGAATGCCGTAGGTATGATTGATTGCATAATGAACAACTTTGGCCAAGTTGCTGGAAGTTCTAGTCACTTTTTTCGTGATGGCTATGTTAGTACCCTCTCGTTGCGTAGTCTCCCGCTCTCCAAACATTCTTTCTCTTGTAGCCTCAGGACATTGAAGGCTATTGCGTTTATATCCAGACTTATTGTTAATCCTTTTGGCCCCGCTAGTGGTATCGGTATCTTTACGCAACTACGGTGCTTGTCCTCTGTACGGCTATTTGTCTCTTAGGCTCCGCGATTTTCGCTCGAGCCTCCAATTTCCTCCTCGGGATCCTTCTTCTAGCTACTTTCTCTGTTCCATTTTCCGCATTCGTAGTTGCGCCTTTTTCCTACCACAATGTGCACTACACTGGTATCTCTCTAGATACTCTTCTTGAAAACCTCAGGCCGCGGTTCACTAAAGGTGCTGTTGGTAGCCAAACATCGGGACGGTTGGTCTTTCAACCCCAACGCAGTGTCTCCTGAAATGACATGTTTTAGTGAGAACTGGCAGGATCTTTTCGGCATCCTTTTCCCAGCAACTGCCGGTATATTCGCTGGTGCTAGTATGTCCGGTGATTTGCGCAACCCGAGCAAATCCATTCCTAAAGGCACGCTACAAGGGCTATTACTCACCTTTGTCGCCTACACCATGGTGATACTTTCAATGGGTACCACTATCAAAAGAGAGAGTCTCTACAAAGACCTCAACATTATTCAGGATGTTTGTTATACTCCCCCATACCCTGTTAGACCCCAAAAATGCTGACCCCTGCAGATCAACGCCTCAAAGTATCTCATCTTAATGGGCGAGTTGGCGTCATCCTTCTTCTCTGCGCTCATGGGCGTCATTGGCTCTGCCAAATCCCTCCAAGCACTAGCCCGAGACGGCGTCGTTCCTGGTGTTTCGATATTCGGCCAGGGGACAAAGTCGCACGACGAACCGACCTATGCAATTCTACTCACTTTCCTGCTCTCTCAGCTCACCCTTTTCGGTGATATCAATCAAATCGCTAACATCGTGACAATGACATATCTTATGACCTTCCTAGTTACTAATCTAGCCTGCTTTCTATTGAAAATTGGGAGCGCACCCAACTTCAGACCAAGTTTCAGGTACTTCACGTGGTGGACAGCCGCTGCTGGAGCCGTTGTAAGCGGGGCAACAATGATCTTTGTGAGTGCGGTGTATGATAACTCCCAAATTTCAGCTAACCACTTAGGTTGATAAACTCTATGCTGGTGGCTGCCTTGCCGTATTGCTCTCCTTGTTCTTGGTCATCCATTACACCACACCACCGAAAAGTTGGGGTGATGTTTCTCAGAGCTTGATCTATCACCAAGTTCGGAAGTACCTTCTAAGACTTAAGCAGGAACATGTGAAGTTTTGGCGGCCCCAGGTATTAACCTACCCTTCTCACTTGTTTTGGCTGCCGTTTATTGATCTGTGACCCCTTCTACCTTCAGATATTGTTACTCGTCAATGATCCCAGGCGATCGTGGAAACTGATTCAATTTTGCAACGGTAATCAAACCCCACTATGATGAACCGCAGACCAAGCGTAGCTAACCACACGGAAAAACAGCTATGAAGAAGGGCGCTTTGTACATCTTGGGCCACATAGTTGTCACACCCGACTTCCAGGAATCTTTTCCTGAGGTGAAGCGGCAACAGGCGGCATGGGTGAAGTATATCGATTTTAGCAAAGTCAAAGCTTTCCCCCAGATTTCTATTGCACCCACAATCGAGTGGGGTGCTCGAAACATCGTCCTTTCTGCAGGGCTTGGGGGAATGCGACCAAATATCGCTGTGATGGGCTTCTATAATCTTGACGAGTACAGAGAATCGACCCCACTCATCAGTGTGCCCTCTGCAACACCGATAAGTGACAAGGCATCCGCAAGCCGCCGGCTAGCCTGCCAAGGTTCACCAGGAAAACGCATCAGCCATATTGTTGATAACCTGCCCACTGACAATATGAGGAGCGAGAAAGCGGTAAGCGTGACCGGCTACGTTAACATTTTGGAGGACCTGCTGCTTTCATTGCAGATCAATGTCGCGATCGCGAAGGGATTCGAGAATCTTGAACTTCCCAAGAAAGGAAAACATCATGAGAAGAAGTATATCGATCTTTGGCCAATACGTGCGTGCTCCCGCCCTCTACCATTGCGACCCATCACCTAACTCCAAATTTAGAAATGTCTGCCGAGATTGAAAACCATGCTCCTGGGGCCGGCAGTGTTTTAACCACCAACTTTGATACTTATACGCTCATTCTGCAGTTGGTACTTATCCCCCTTCTTGATTCCATTGTTTCATCCGATTTACGCTTAATAGGGTTGTATTCTCAACACGGTTCCGGTTTGGAAGAAAGCGTACAAAGTCCGGGTGGTGGTTTTCGTCGAATATGAGAGCGATGTTAAGGAGGAACAGGACAGAGTCAAGAAGCTGCTTGAAAATTTACGAATACAGGCCGAGGTTTTAGTGCTGTGGCTCTCGAGCGGCGAACTTCGTTCCTATGAAGTTATTGTCAATGGAGCAGCTCCAAAGGACAATTGCGACGTTGAAGATATTCTCGGCAAGGAAGAATGGTGGAGAGAATTACAGAAGCGAAGAAGTCAAGCGTCCGCACAAGACAGCCCCAACCACCTTGCGGATCTAGCCCAGCTCGTCAGTGGTGCTCAATGGCCCAGTAGCAGTTTCCAGCAACAAGCGAACCGCACAGGATCGCACTCGATTTCTGGAGGGTTACGTAAGCTTATCAAGAAGCCCCGGAGAAGACACTCCATGTTTGGGCTCACAAGACTTGGAATGTCGGTTTCCCTGAATATGCGTACACATCGCTTAAACCCGGATGCTCTTGACCACGGGTCTGCTTCCGAACTATCAAGTGACGAGGAAAGTAGTGATGAGTTTCTTAGTGACGAAGAATCCATCGTCAGCGCTGCAAGTGAAAACGACGTTGATGAATACGATGAAGGAAAAGCCTCTGGACAGAAAGCACGCCGTGCCAGTGTTGGGGACCCATTTGGTCTAGGCGCGCTCTCCAGGAGACAGACATTACGACAAACTGCTCTTAAATCATCCGCATTATCATCCGCATTAAAGTCCTCTCCTGCTGATCTTTCTCCCGCGCCACCACACCACCATTCGCGCCCTACATCAAGTTCGGGCGGGAACTCCTCGGGAAGTGCGTCGGCTCTACTACCCATCAGACCCGAGCCCCCCCACCGGAGCTCCACACCAACCTTCTCTTGTAAAGCTATACCCGACACCCAGGTTGCTACGGAAGAAGGCGCCGGGCCCAGCATCATGTTTGCAGACTCCAACCCTAGGAGGACGACCAGCCCACCAGCGCAATCCCACCCACTCTCTTTTAACGACCTTCCTTCGAGTGCGCAACATCTAATCCTTAACGAGCTCATTCGAAAGTATTCGCAGGATACCGCAGTGGTCTTCACAACCCTACCCTCTCCACAGTCCGGAACATTCAAAAGTGAGAAGGATTCTCTAGAATACCTTACCGGCCTCGAGGTAATAAAATGATAGGGTGGAAAAAATATTACCCTTCTCCCTCCCCTTCTTCACACCCCACCTCGACCAGCCCTTCTCATTACCCATGCTGATGTCATTACCTAGATTCTGACCGCGGGCCTCCCGCCCACACTCCTAATCCACTCTAATTCTTTAACCGTAACGACCGCTCTATAACCCCCACCTATCATACATATGATGACAAGGAACCTTCTGAATCTATTTCCTCCCTCCCCCAATGCTTACTACTGCCCATGATATCATTATATGTGTCCTCAACGTTCCTCTCACGCCTCGAACCAGGGCCTGCACGCTCTATTTGTTGCCCCCCATGAAGTAAATTAAATTAAAATGTACCGCATCTAAGCCATGGCGACCCCTTTCTCTCTCTTCAAACATTTCAACCATTCTTTCCACTCCCCTTGATACCCCTCACTCCACATTTATCCCCCCCAGTCGAGCGTTGTCCCCCAACCCCACCATCATCCTCGTGTTTTCCCCACATTGGATTAGAGATCATATGGACATAAATGAGTAAATGGGCATCCGGACAGTGTATGGAAGGTAGCAAAAACCACAGGCACTGTCACAAAAAAAATTGAAATAAAGAAATCAGCTTGCTGTTGCTCGCGCAACCCAGCCTTCTCCGTCACCAAAACCAATCTACCCCTACCATACTTGCGCTCCCCGGCCTGTGGCATGTGTAAGCATGGATTACCCGTACGGCCGTACACCAATGCCAGCAATCTCACGACCCTCCCTACCCTTCTTCCTCCTTCTCCTCTCCTACCCTTCCACCACTGCAACCGTGTTTCTATACCAGCCCCCCCCCCAGATCCCGTATCCCACCATTAATGCCCCTTGAGAAGACCCTTCAATCACCCCCATGGGAATCCTCCGCCCATTTCCAACTTAGCGCTAAAACCTCCGTGACCGAGTGCCGCGTAATTTCGCGATATATCTCCTCTGTTCCCCGCCCTACACACACACTCAACCCCCGGTGCATGATAACGTATTCTACCGGCCCAAGCTCTCACCACACTTCAAACACTATTTACTTATAAAAATAAATAGATAAAAGCCAAGGAAACCTTCCGAAGTGATGCTTAATGAATTAATTAGCCCAAATACGAGTCTAGTACCGGTACTTTACATAGTCCTGTCGGTAGGTCGGTAGACAGCCGTGAGCTAGGGTCGGTTATTCCCGGGATGTTGGGTATTCCGCCGAGAACCATTGTTACCGCAGGAGCTCCGTTAGGTGATATTTGGTACGTTACGTTAGAGTAGATGTGCAATGATGCGAGAGGCAGAATCCTTTCTGGGGGGGGGGCAACTTACGGCTCATTGTACTGTACCTTCCTCCTGGGTGTTGTGATTATTGGGTGGTAGGGTTCAGGCAGGGCGCCATTGTGGATCGGGAATGGATGTGCTGTACGGGTGATCTGGCTGCCTACGGTAGCTGTCTACGATAGGGGGCTTGGTCATGATAAGTGGACGATAATGATGGTTCATCCAGGGGGAGTGAAATTGTTGAGACAGAAGGGAGTTTGGTCGGTCGAGAGGAGGCACGGTTATATAATCCGTCATAATTCCCGCTGGAGAGAGCTTTATTTCCTCCATTACTGGAGTACCTCCTCCTCCTCATAGCCATCTGGAGCCCCATATCTCACCACTCTAACCAAACCTTTAGACGAAACTGATATCATATCTCAAAGAGAAATGGTCACTACAGAAGCCAACCCAACTCCACCCTTCCCTTCCCAGAAGCCCCCATGGATTTGCACACCATTGATAGAAAGCAATTCTCTCTCCAAAGCTGCTGGATGGTATTTTCCCCCATTCGCTACTTCTCCCAGATGGGTGTAGAAATAGTTAACGGCACTACAGTAGAGTGCACATGAAAATGGACATGTTCCAACCGGCCGGCTCATTCAAATCTCGGTATGACTCCTATCTCTTCTCCTGCCCGCCCTATCCTGCAGCGACATCCATAGACGGCAAACTGAGCTCGAATGTTAAGGAACTAACGCATGCGCACCCGTCAACAGAGGAATTGGAAATTACTGCCTGAAAGCCGTCAACTCCCGACCCAATCGTCCGATCCGTTTCTACAGCTCAAGCGGTGGTAACGCAGGCATGCCCTTCCTCCTTCCCATTCCAACCCCCTTCATTAGCCCAGTCAAACAAACTAACGCATTACAAAAAGGCCTGGCAGCAGTGACAGCTTCCCGCTCCCTCTCCCAAAGTGCAACGGTAATCGTGCCCACTACGACAACCCCCCTAATGAAGTCCAAAATCCAGCAAGCCGGGGGAACAGTAGTCACTCACGGCGCCAGCTGGTCCGAGGCCGACGAGCACACGCGCGCGCTGGTAGCAACAGACCCCACAGGGGTGTACTGCCCACCCTTCGATGCAGAGGATATCTGGGAGGGGAACAAGACGCTAGTGGACGAACTCCTCGACCAGCTTGCGGAGGAGGGGCAATCCCTCGACGCAGTCGTCCTCTCCGTCGGCGGTGGCGGGCTCTTATGTGGCGTACAGATGGGCCTGCTGGAACGTGGGCTTGGGCACATCCCCCTGATCGCAGTGGAGCCTGAAGGTGCTGCGGGCCTTGCTGCGTGCTTGAAGGCGGACAGGCTTGTGGAGTTGGATGCTGTCACGAGCATCGCTACCAGCCTGGGCACGAGGAGGGTTGCAAGGAGGGCGTTTGAGCTTGCATGTCATGGGAATGTCCGTAGCGTTGTTCTGTCCGACGCCCAGGCCACCATGGGCGCGGTGAGGTTGATGGATGACGAGAGGGTTGCTGTTGAGCCGGCCTGTGGGATTTCCGCGGCTGTGGTCTATGATAATGTGCTTAAGAAGGTGTGTCCTGAGTTGGGGCCTGATAGCAATGTGGTGCTGGTGGTTTGTGGAGGTGAGTATCTCTCCTTCCTTCTCCCCCGCGCGCTCATAGGTGGACTGATGATGCGGTGTAGGGAACAGTATATCGGCGGAAATGTTGGCAGAGTATAGAAAGACATATAGCCATTTGGACGCCCCTATGGCAACTCAGGCTTATACCAACTGAGGTGCCGCCGATGTTGTCGCGGGGGGGCGGCGGTGTTCAACATAGTTTGTATTGTCACATTATAGATTTCATGTCAAGCAATCATTTCCCTCCCCCTCCTCCAAGCAACCAAGCAACCATCCAACCAAAGAAACAAGCAGTAAGCATGGAACCGGTCCGAAACGTAATGGTACCATTGACTACCCACCACCACCACCGGAGTCAAGCGCAAGTGAGAACTAAAATCTCAAATAAAAATAAAATGACTCAAACGCAACACTAAAGAACCCGGCAGCGGAACCTAACCGATTCCTTTTTCACATTCAAGCCGCAGCCCCGATAAGCCCCAGCCTGTAGTTCCAGTAATTCGCCCTGATAGGGTCAAACTTAGCAGCCAGCAGCTTGAGAGCCTTGACCGCTTTTCCATGCTCCTCCCTCTTCTCGGCGTAAATATCGGCCAGCAGATCGAGCGCGTGAGAGGAGGTAATTTTATCCGGGTTATCGAGGGGCGCGTATCCCAAGCACATGCTCTCGACAGAGGATAGCGGCCTGTGAGCCTTTTTGAGAACACTTGTCTTCGTCAGCCCAGGCAATCTTAAGAACGATAATAAGTGAGACACCACTGACCCGCGAAGATAATTCCAAGCGCTAGCATTCTGTGGTGCAATAAATACCGCATCCTCAATGAATCTGATCTCCCTCGCTATCACCTCCCCCTCCTCCCCTCCCTGCTGCGCATCCATCCCCCCAAATACCACAAAAAATCGATGATTCCAAGCCGAATTATTCCTAACATCCCTCTCTAACAGCGCGGCCACAAAGCTCAACTCCCCGTCCCAAGCTTCGAACCGACGAACAAGCCACTGACGATAACTCCACACGTGGTAATTCTTCCCATCGTCCTCGAACATGGCGTCCATGAACTCCTTCTCCTCCCTCACCAGTCGCCCCTGCTCCATCGGAGCGGCAGCGGCGACAGCTTCGACGACGGTCTGCCTATGGTTCCAAATCTGGTAATTCTTCTGATGTCGCAGGGCTAAATCATTCAAAAACTCTAATTCGCGCTCCAACTGTACTTCGCCAGCGGCGGATAAAGCGAGCAGCGTCTTGGCGCGGTATAGCCAAATGGTGTAGTGAGCCGGGTTCATTTCAATGATGTGTGCCGTGACCTGCAGCACGCGCGGGGAGTGTTCGTTTTTGGCCATGATGGCGCGGAGGTAGGACATTGCCTCGGCATACTCCTCCGTGTAAGCGATTTGTGCGAGTGGATTTTGGCCGTCGTCCTGCGGGAGGGGGAGGAGATCGGCCCAGGCTGGGTCAGTAGCGTAGGAGTCCGGGGGTGTTGGGTTCATGGTGATGGTGATGATGATTTTTGTTTTGCTTTCGTCGATTTCTCTTCTTTGTTGGGTGAGGTTGGGAAGGTCGGTTGGGGGAAGTGGTTTCTGTAGCTGTGAAAGGGAGATGGTGCGGGGGTGGTGCTGAGAGCGGGTCGACCACAAGGATCGATCAGATGGTGGGGTACGATGAAATCACCGCCCGATGCGTGCAGCGCGGGTTTCCAGCACACGAAGTCTGGGTGTATCAACAGTTCAGACACGGTGGCACGGTGGCACGGTGGCACCCGAGTGCGTTGTGATGAACCAACTCACTTTACGAGTACAATCTCTATCGTATCGTACCTGCACTAGTACCTACTAACTTACCGCCGGGTCTCAAGTGCTAAATCAACCAGCCAAAACCAGCCCACCTCTAGATAGCTCAACTCTCCATTCTGCTCGCAACAACCCCTTACATAAAATCGAATTCCCATTTTCGTACAAGCCCCCAATCAGTCCGCACTCACGCCAAACAACCAAAGAGTCAAAGCTAGCGCACTACCGCCAAAGAAAAATAGAAGGAAAAATAAAGAAGCAAAAAATAGGACAAAATAAAAGTCTGGAAGCGAAAAGTGATTAAACTTGTTATAAACCCCGAACCCAATATTTGGCACTAATGCAGGCAGAAATCTGAGCCCTCGGCAATCCACTCCCGCCAGAACCTCCATCCCTTGATCCCTTTGCCGATGGCCCCCACCCCAGCCAACGCTTCAACCCCCTCCACACCTTCGGCTCCCAAAAACATTTCCTGGGTGATCTCGGTCTCAGCATCGCCCACGGCGGCTGGCCACAAGACACCAACACCATCCCCTCCGAGAGTCGTCTGATACTTTTCGAACCCTTCCACTCTGAGTTTAGAATCCAGTTCCTCCAGGGTGTTGGCCTTCACTTTCGGCTTCAACAAAGTTATTGAACACCCTCCTCCTCCCGCCCCGGTAAGCTTTGTCCAACCAATCCCGGTGTGATCAATCAACTCTCGAATCCGCTCCAACTTTGGATGAGAGACGCCAAGCGAGACCAACAAACCATGATTGATGCGAATAAGCTCACCGAGCCGTGCAAGGGATGGGCTTCCAGCAAAAGAAGTGAAATCAGGATCCGATAAAACGTCATGCGCCTCGGCCGTAATACGGTCAATCGTGTCCAGCATTGATTGTGTAATCTCGGGATGCGCGTTCAGCATATTACGAACGTTGGCCAACTGCTCAGCAGTCCTCCGCAGCTGTTTTGTGTCGACCAAAAGTAGAGGGAGCTCCGGAAAGCTGCGGGGTGCGTCAATTAATGCATCCAGCATACGAGGAAAACTACCGGGGGCTCACTTCGTCAGGTGGGTAACCTCTGGGGGCAGAGTGTAATCCGTTCGTTTGAAAAGCACAGCCTTTCCCCCTGTTGCCACAGTATTGTCCACGCCACTTGGATTACCATGAATGCACATCTCTCCAACAAACGACCAGTTGTTAATTCTCTTCATTTGCAATTGAGTCTCATTCGACAACATTCCCTCGAATGGCGTCGCCAAAGTCCCCATCTGCAGTTGGAGAGCTGTGCTTAGGCAAACAGAAATACTCGCACTGCTGCCCAAGCCTGCGCCGATAGGAATTGTTGATCTGAGAGTATAGATCGAAGCAGGAGCATGTTTGGATCCGAGCATGAGATAGAGATAGAGGAAGGCAGAGGCTGCCGCCTGTTGCACCTTTCCAGGAATGGCTGCCACCAGCGGTTTAACCGTTTCCAAGAGCTCCTTGTCCAAGCGCTCAACGGTATCGAAGTAATATCTCTTCTTACCGGGCTTGGAGAAGATGGCCCATGGCAGAGAATCGATCTCCCAACTATGGTTCAAGCTAATATCGGTAAAGTTGAGGGTCAAAGTGCGGTTCGTCTTAGGGAGAGGCGTTACCAATAGATACGATCGAAGGGAAAGCGCGGCTGCGATTGCGGCCTTTACCATGGCGTTTCGTGAGCAAAACTTCCTCAAAAGATACCGCATGGGTCCATCGGGAGGAAAATGTTACCTTGCCGTAAACAACGGCATGCTCGCCATAAACAATTACTTTTCCAGGGGCAGAAACCATGAAGGGTGGGAGCTGGGAGACGGTCGAGGCCCGATGAGCTCTAGCTCGGGGGACCATGTTTGCAATATTTGGCGAATTTCTGGAAGGGCAGTCCTAGAGTCCCATATAAGCAGTCGAGCGTAGACACGGGGAGAAAATCGGCAGGACACACCGAGATAATGTGTTCGCCGCTGACCCCATTTGTTTTTTTTGCTGTTGACGTCGTTCCTTCCGAGGCAGCGGCAACCTGGTGGTCAGGACTCACGACCACAACACCGCCATTAAGTTTCGAGGAAGATCGACCATTGACCAGGGGAACGGATTGCTCCATTTCAGCAACTTCAACCGACAATCCAGAAAAACTGTTTCCAGATTGCTTGTCAGATTGTTGTGGAGGGCAGGCCTTTTGTTGTAGGGCTTGAAAGGAGGAAAACATTCAGATTAAGTATAGGGGTTAAGGTGATGAGTAGGGATATTATCTTCCCCGTACGTTTGGGGAGCCGTTCACACTTTTTTTTTTCTCCCTCCGCTTCGCTTTGTTCAATAGGGCAATAAGATGGAAGATATGACTACCGGTATTATACTAGGGGGCGGTGGTGGTTTCGGGGATAGGTAGTGACGGGGGAGGAAGTGCAACAGTGGCGGAGTTGGTGAAAAAGTGTAGACGCGCAAGAACGAATGTTGGTTTCCAGAGTCAAACAAGAGAGCCAGGGGGTTCGTCGTCAGCAGACCGGGGAAGGGGGATGAATATACAAGTAGGTGGGAGAAGAGACAGAAGGAAAGAAAGAAAGAAAGAAAGGAAAGGAGAGCGATATTGTGGGATGGATGGCGGAGGGATGGACGGGACAGCCCTGCCTGCTGTATCCCGTCGGCCATGCTCCTCCTATTATCATAACCTGACAGATATCGGTGGTAGTACTCACCCTTTTTTTCTTCTCCCTTCTCTTCGTCCCACTTCACCTCACTTGCCCAACAGTTTACCCCGAAATCACGGGGAACAAGAGTACGAGTACTCGAGTACGGTGCCGGCACCTTAGAATCGACGCTCAGTGCCATCCGGGTCCAGGCACTAGTCCTAATGTATCTGACCATACTGCTTTAGGCAATGTGTTAGTATATTACTCAGCAAAAACCTGCTTTTCACGCACAAGTGCCAACCTCTTCGCTCCACCCAAATTTTACCTCAACTTTAACAGCTGTTATAGAAAGAACCACACCCCTTGAGTGAAATCTACTCAGTAAATGTGTTCTTTATATGTTTTACAAGTAGGAGGATTATACAGAAGGAATAAGTAAAATAATAATCTGTGACATTGTTGTTGCCCACCGAAAAGTCGGGAAAGTTCGGTTGTCGTTAGGGTTGATTCTAAGGTGCCGGCACTGTAACTGTGCCAAGGTTAATGCGGAAATTGTGAAATGCAAGCGGTTCAAATTTTCACAGCATGTCTATGAGGTGCCCGACAGCTCAATGCCAGATTGGGCTTAATGCCAGATTTTTTTCAAGTCTACCAAGGCCTCCACTATTATTCAACCAAAACATGGTAAGTACAGCTGAGAATTATGATGAGATTGAGGCTCAGATTCAGCTTGCTTGTAAGAAGTTGACTGAAAGTGATTGGCCACTGGCAAACATGGCTGGTACTCCTAGTGGATTTGAAATTCTGGAGACTGGTTTGTGGGTCAGATGGAAGGACTACCCAATAAAGTTTAAATGAAGTCTAAAAAATAGAAGGCTCAGGAATTAGTAGGGTTTTATAAAATACGTATATTATTATAAAATACGGTATTTTTGACAATAAATTTTATACTATACATACGATACATATGTGCCCTAAACTTTTTAAACCTAAATACTAAGCCCTAAACCCTAAACCAATTACTATTAGTTGTAAAATAAGTTTTTGCCCTAAGAGTTTGGCAGAGAATCTTTTGCCCTATCAGCAATTCCTGTGCTTAAGAAACAACTTTATTACTTGTTACAGACTTCACAAAACATAAACACAATCTTTGTGAACATGGGCCATATGAAGGATCCACAGCTGCATAGCGCTTTTGAGACCATACCTCCTGAGAGTGGAAAAAAGGTAAGTGTTTTTTCCTTTGACAATGTTGCAATTTGAATTTACTAAAGTTGATATAGCTTGAATTAGTTCGGTGTATCGCATGTGGAAAGACCTTTGCCAAAAGTCCAACCCGTCAACGTGAGCATTTATCCACCTGCGTTAGATATCAGGAGCAGATGAGCCTTGAAGGTAAGGCAAGTATCGGAATATCAAACATGGCTGCAGGTCAAACACGTATTACGAGCCAAGTTCAACGCCTATCTCCTACCGAAAACTATGACGCCGATCTCTCATTCGCCTTAGCTATATATATGAACCATCTTCCGTTCAATGTCACTCAATCACCATACTTTATCACACCATTTCAAAAGATTTCACCCGCCTATAAGCCACCAAGTCCGTTCCTCTTACGTACCACTTTACTTGATGAGACCTATCTTCAGGTTAAGGGGGATGTGGAGCAAGTGATTCAATCAACATACTATCTTAACTTCATTACGGACGAAAGTGAAAATGAATCCAAGAATCAGATTATCAACATCTCTGTTAATACGGACCATGGGACCTTCCATTGCTGCTCAGAGAATGCAGGATCCATGCAGTTTACGGCGGAAAATCTGGCTTGATGGCTTATGGTAAAGCTTAGGATTCTTGTGAAAGGCGATTGGAAACGAATCAACAGGTTCGCTACAGATACGTGTTCCACTATGCTTCTGCTATGCAGAGTTCTTGCAATTGATGAAAGATTACAACTCTCCAAGGCACTCTTTGTTCCCTGCGACTCCCATGGACTCCAACTTCTCATAAAGGATCTCCTTGGACTTCCTTACTATAAGGTAATCTAATCACAAATCATGTTGGTTATTAATACCTTTCGTCAGTCTCCTCTCCAGCTGTCTATTCTTCGCGAGAAACAAAAAGCCTGCTATGGAAAAACCAGTGCTTTGGTCCTCGCCATTATTACCCATTGGGGTACCCAAGCACGTGCTATCGATTCTATTTACAAGAACAAGGATGCCTTCAAGGCATATATACTTGATGATCGTATTCAACTTGATCATGAGGTGACCCAGCTTCTCTACTCACATGATTTCTGGAACAATGTCGAAGAGCTCTGTGATCTCATTCTTCCCATCCACAAGGTCCAAGTTCAATCAGAATCCACTAATGCGCATCTTGGATTGGTCGTTTCTCGCTGGCTTGTAATTCACAGCCACCTTCAGCGCATCACCGCCTCGCAGCCTTCTGTACAGCAAATCTTAGGACTATTTGAGAAGAGAATGGAGCGTCAAGTCTTAGCTCTTCATTGCACAGCCCACTTTCTTACACCTGCGAATATTGGAGCAATTACAACTATGGAGCAGCAAAACATGGTTATTGAATACCTTCAGAATGCAAACAGTGACCCTACTATTCAGAACTGTATTCAGGAAAAATATTACATGTACCAAGCCAAGGATGGGCCATTTAGTTCCAACAATCTCGCATGGAATATGACTAGCCCCACTACATTCTGGCATGCCCAACATACCATCACTCGAGAACTTTCCCTACTAGCTACCAGATTATTTCGTACCCCAGCCAATTTAGTCCCTAGCAAGCGATCTTTTTCTGCCCAGAATCTGATTCACAGCAAGGTCCACAATAGGCTTGACTCTACTCGAGTAGATAAGCTTACCTATATCTATCCCAACCATCGTGTATTGGACTACAAGGCTGGTGAACCACGTCAGTGGCAAGAGCTCTCTGGTAAGGCAGAAATTGAGCTTGAAGATATCATTGTGAGACTCCAGGATACAATTGAGGCTGAAAGTGATGAAGGTATTGTAGTCATAATCTCTTTGAATTTAAATGTTCTTTTTGATTTCTCAATTTACTAATATTATTATTGCTAACTTAGAGGAAAATAGAGAAGGGGAAGAGCCTGGGTTTGAAATAAACCAGGAACAGGAATCAGCTACTGAGAATCTTTTTGAACATTCTGACAATAGCCAGTCCCTTGAAAGTGAGGTAAGAGGATCAAAGAGGGCGAGGTACAATAATAATAATTAGTAGTAGCTAGCAACATTTTTATATTTGTAACCTTGTACTATTATATTACAATTGAAAGTAGAATTTCCTATTTTCTACATAACTCTGCTACTGTAGTCTGTGCCTTGAATAAAATATTTTATACCTATTTTTAAACTTTAAATAAAATAGGTTTTTAAAAATAAAATACAGTTTTTATATGGTATTATACGGTATTATACAAAATGGTATAAATACAATCTCAAACGCTAGCAATTAGGAACTTGGAGTTTGTCTTTATTCAAAGAGGTTAGATGTAATAGACAGCGTCTGAGGGTCAGGTTGTAACCGGAGCTGGTACTCAGTTACTTAGTTTGTTTTATGTTTTGTTTTAAGTATCAGCTGATACTTGGTTAGTTTTATGGCTTGATTGAGTAAGAACAGGAGTGAGAATTCATGATTGCACTCAAACATATGTACTTAAAAAGACCGCCGTTTTCCAGTCTGGAAACAGCAGACTTCGACATATAGAATTCTAATATACTTGGTTGAACAGTTATCTTCATTTTCCTATTACACCACCGAAGTCTCTCTTAGCGAGCCTAAGAACTGTTATTTTCTGGTAGATTATCAGTCTGCTCCTATTGTACCCAACAATGTGACTAGTGCCCTGGTGTGAATACGTTACATTTTTTTAACCTCAACCAGTAGTTAAAATATGACGAATCAGGGCCTGATCAACCCACGAGGATTCAGCATAATGAATGGTACCAGCAGAAGCAGCAGACCACAATGGTCAGCTTCTACACCATGATAAGTGCGACATAGATCTACTTACAACTTGGAGTGGGTGTGAGATCTCACATGAAGGCCTGACTCAGAGGAAAGGCGAAAAACCAAGAACAGGCACTACACTTGGTGAGTTCCCAGAATTGCCAGTGAAAGAACGCAAACTACCAGTACCATCAGCACCACCACCCCCACATAGCAGCTCTTCAGAAGAAGACGAAGACATGTCTGACCATAGTACCCCAGCCCCCCTGGCTGACCCACTGGCAGAACCACCCATACAGAAACCCAAAATAAAAATCCCATAGCCTAAGACATTCTTGGGCAGAGGAGAAGACCTGAGGCTGGAGGCATTCGAGAGATGGCTTGTTAGCGTACAGCAATAGCTGTCAATGTATGGAATAGATATGAAAGACTAGCGATTAGGGATCTATTGCGGAGCCTTCTGCACAGAAGACGCGATAGCAGCATATCAACAGTGTATCCAGGAGTACTGGGAACCAGACAAAGTAAGGGCAATCACAGTAGTTAACTTCCTATTCCACTGATTCCAATCATTCCGCAATGCGGACAAAATATTTGAAAAATTCAATACAATCCAACAGACGCATTGAGGAAAAACAGATAAAATAAGCAAAACAGCAACGACGCTCCTCAAGTATCATAGCTGGTTACTCATGGGAACAGTTTCAGCATACTCCCTTAAGAAACGATTCTATGAAAGCATGTACAACAACTTATGGCAGGTAGTCAAACAGCAAGAAATAGTGACAGACAATATCCATGTAATTATCAAAAGGGCAGAAAGATATGATACTATCCTGTGGGATATGAACGCCTACAAATCAACAGATGCAAGGAGAGAAAAAGAACAGCATTACAGCCCTACTAGGAACTTGAAAAGGATAGGGACACCAAAACCAAAGGACAACCAGCGACAGCAACAAGAAAAGGAGAACAACAAATACTTTGAATGCGGAAAAAAGAGCCACTACACGAAGGACTGTTATACATGGAAATCCAAAGGCAAGAACATAAAAAAAAAAGCTGCCATGAACCTCCTAGAAGAAGAAGAAAGCTCCTATGAAGAAATCACATCAGTGAAAATAACTCCTGTATCAG